ACCAACTCACATATCTCAAACTAAAGAAAGAAAAAATTAAGGAACCCAAACCCACCACCCCACCCCTATCGCAAGACCACAACACCCAGCCCCCGCAACGGTACGCACCACGCAACCTCCTGACCGACGTACACATACGCAGCCATATTCCTCAACCCGCAAAACGTCTCTGACAGCGAGCCCGAACCCGGTGGGAAGCAGTCCGGCACCCGGCGCGCATGCTACTGAACCAATTCCCGCCCCCCCCAGCGATCCAGGTCCCAGTCTCCCCCCTACCCTACCCAAGACCCCACCCCCCGCGCCGGGCCAGGCCCCGCCTCCCGCATCCTTTCCCGGCCCCAAGCGAAGCCCAGCCCTGGTCGGCATCCAAGTGCCCGCGGCTCCGGAAGGCGGCCGTGGTCGAAACGTGCAGTTCCCCGGTTTCGTTTGTTTCCTGCGGTGACCGGGAACCTTTGCCTCCGTCCCGCGAAAAACTGGTGGAGTTTGCGTTCCCGTCGTCGCTCCTGGGCTCGGATTCCAGGCGGGGAGGTGTGGGCGCGGGGGAGGGGGTGGAATGGAGACCTGTGGTGACCCGCTGTGTTTACGAGGCGCTCGGGGCTGCTACCCGCAGTTCTATCCTGGGGGGCGGGGCAGCCCAATACTGACAGGTAAATGGCAAGTCCTTTTTTTAATATATTTTATTGATTTTTTTTTTTTTACAGAGAGGAAGGGAGAGGGACAGAGAGTTAGAAACATCGATGAGAGAGAAACATCCATCAGCTGCCTCCTGCACACCTCCTACTGGGGATATGCCCACAACCAAGGTACATGCCCTTGACCGGAATCGAACCTGGGACTCCGCAGGCCGACGCTCTATCCCCTGAGCCAAACCAGTTAGGGCTAACTGGCAAGTCTTTGTATCCACCACAGGCTTTACTGTAAGGCACATGTGAAAAACGCAAATGATTTTTTTTCCAGATCTCCCAGATGCAGTGCTGTAATTTGCAGTGTACGAGATTCTCCCCCAATTACCTGTGATATTTGATCCAACTTATTTTAAAACTTGCGTGACCTTCTAGACATCTAGGATTTAATCATTAGAAGAACATTTTATTTGTCAGAAGTCCAACTTAGAGTGTTTAGAAAAATAATCATTTTCTATTATGCTTTGCACCTGATGGTTCTGTGTACCCCCAGGGCTTTCTGTCTTCACTTGGAACACCTAGAATTTTCTTTCTTGCCCTAGCCAGTTTGGCTCAGTGGATGGAGCGTCGGCCTGCAGACGGAAGGGTCCTGGGTTCAAGTCCAGTCGAGGGCATTTACTTCGGTTGCAGGTTCCTTCTCAGCCGAGCCCGTGCAGGAGGCAACCAATCGATGTGTTTCTCTCACGTCGATATTTCTGTCTTTTCCTCTCTCTCCCACTCTTTCTAAAATCAATGGAAAAATATCATTGGGAGGATTAAAAAAAAAGATTTATTAAGAAAATAGAATTTTTTTATCATTTCTCAGTCACCACTTAAAGGAGACAGCATAAGGAATTCATCTTATTACCAGTGGCATTTCAATATTTATGAAATTTGAAAATTGTAGCTGCAGTTCTGATTCATGGATCGTCAAAGAAAGCAGAGAACATAGGTGAGAGATGCAAGAACATTTTCTTAAACTCATCGTGCCATGTGAAGGTTATTCCTGCATATTTTGGAGGATTTTAAAAGGTTTCTTAAATTATTATTTTTTAAATATATTTTTATTGATTTCAGAGAGGAAGGAAGAGGGACAGAGAGAGATGGAAACACCAATGATGAGAGAGAATCATTGATTGGCTGCCTCCTGCACACCCCACACTACGAACTGAGCCCGAAACCCAGGCATGTGCCCTGACTGTGAATTGAACCGTGACCTGATTCATAGGTGGACACTCAACCACTGAGCCACACTGGCTGAGCAGGTTTCTTAAATTCTTAACCATTAAAATTCTTACTTTGCTTGATTGGCAGCCATGCTTCCATTTTTCTAGTGTGAAAATACGGGGCAATACTCATCTTCCTCCCCTAATTGGAACGCTGAAATTTCTCAGTTGTCAGCAAACTGGGCAACATTTCAAGTCCTGCTTCTCTAATTGTCAGTGGAAACAGCTAGAACTCTCAAAACCTAAGGAGTGACAAATCCAAGGTGACTCATGTATACAGAGAATTAAGTGTTGTCATTTCCCATCCTTGTGGCTAGTTATGGCTGTACAAAATTGATGTCAGCTGTCATTATTATATTTATGTTTACTGGGTTCAACTCTAAGGAAAAACCCTTTTAGATTGCTGCTTTACAAGTCAGAATACTGGAACTCAGAGAAACTAAGTAACTTGCCTGAAATTATACAGCTGGAACATGATAAAGCTAAGATTTGCACTTAGATAAATCTGATAACATAGCTGCATTCTTTCCATTGCATCACAAAAAATAGTGCTTTATCTTGCTTAATAGGCCATTATTCTTTTTGCATTTTTGTTTATCCTGTAGGGGAAACTTGTTGTTTTTGTATTTTCTTTTATCCTTTCTGAGGTCAGTGAAAGGTGTCTAATATAAAAAAGGATCAGAGAATTGATATCCTAGACTTAAAATACTTGTTTCTAGATGGTACAACATCATTATGAAACACACAAGTATCACCTCTATAGGGAAAATAACCTATTAATAATCCTATAGCATAGTGTTCTGCCCATGAACAATATTGGTGTGTTGACTTGAAATTGTATGTGTTTAAAAGCATGTGGGTTGAAGAATCTCTGATTTTCTTTGTATGTGGTTTTCAGGCTCTTCAAAAGGGGCAGGTTTGGGCAGATTTGAAGACTGATACTAAAACAGGTAATTCATCTTTTATATTCTAAAAGAGGAACAAACTTTTATTGACCCCTATGACAGTATATTATCCATATCACCTATTACATATATTATCTTATTTAATTCTTCAATAAACCTCTATGAAGCGAGTATTAGAACATTTAACAGTTAATTCTAAAAGCTGCTCTTTATGTCATCAGTGTGTTAAGTTCTTTACTTGTGCTATGTCAGTGCACTCCCAGTAATAACCTTCTAGCACAGTGCAATAGAACTTTTCCACAAGAATGAAAACGTACTATTTTCACTGTCCTATACAGTAGTCACTAGACACGGGTGGCTTTTGAGTACTTGAAATGTCATTAACGTGACTAAGGAACTAAAATTTAAAATTTTACTTTATTTCAGTCAATTGAAATTTTAAATAACCACCTGTGGCTTCTGATTACTGTGATGGACAATGCAGCCTTTGCCAATAATATTATGCCATTTTTCAAAGGAAAAACTGGTTCAGGGAAGTTAAGGAAGCTTGTCCAAGTTTGTCCAATTTTGTAAAAACAAGTTTTTGAACAGAAGAATGTTGTAGCAATGTTAATTTGGCAGTGCGTGCGGAATGGACGGAGGGGAAGGAGAAAACTAGTTCCGCAGAGAGAGTTGAAACGAGTTGAAACTCTGACTTGAGAACTGGGAGGAGGAATGGCTGCAGATGACCGGAGGTAGAATTGCCATCGTTCAGTGACAGCATGTGAGGTTACTTTGAGGTCTTGGAATCTGGATAATCTGGGACAATGGTAATACTGTTTACTGAAACAGAAAAATTATGAACCTTTTTGGGGTTTAAGAGGATTTGGTTTGGGCTATTTGTTCATAAAATATTTATTGAGCAAAGCCCTCTGCTGTGCTCAGGTGGAGAAGTGGAGTCCCCATTAAGGATTTTATCCACTTAAAACGCCCTCCTATAGTTTCCTCCTGTGGAGGATAGTGCGCTGTAAGAGATGTGCAAATGCTCAGTGTTCTCTGAGGCCCTGGGTGCTTATTTCCAGGTGCAGAGGGATTAGGGAAGGTGTTGTGGGTGGAAAGTGGTTTTCGAGGTCAGATTTGAAGACTAGGAAGGATTTGGACATGCACAAAGGATCAAATGAGGAGGAGGTTATGCTTCTAGCAATGGGGTGGACAAAATGTTTTGAAAATCCATTTTGCCAAAACACCTAAATGCTGAATAAATTATATTAGCCTTTTAAATGCATAGCAGGTCTTGCGGGAAAGAAAGGGAAATCCTCAGGGCTAAAAAGTCCAAGCGAGCTGAGACCAGAGTAGTAAACTAGCAGTGTGTCTCCTTTGGGGGCATTTGGCTGATAGCAGAAAGGAAGCACAGCTGGAGGTAGGTGATAGGCTCCCCCCTCCTCCCCCCCAAAGTAGAGAGAGAAAGTCATCTCCCTTTGACCTCCCAGGGGTACAACTTCTGGAGGCACCATTCACGTGGTAGTACACCTGTTTATTCACCTAAACGGTACCTGTGTTTCAAGGGATGACTTTTCCATAAAAAGTAAAATGTAAATGTTTCTACTTGAAATTGTACAACTCATGGCCTTGGACAAGCCCCTCCCCCCAAATTTAGCTAGAACCCTCAAAAATCTCTACAAACTCAGTGAAAGGTGGGCTAGGAAAAATACCTCCTTGACAAAGGGAGATCACAAAGAAATGTTTTCACGTAGCTGCAGGTGGTGGAAATAAAGGTACGGTCTCCGAACAAACTGTTCCTGGAGGACAGAAACTGTAACAGGGAACAGCACCAGGTGTCAGATCTTGGTTCTTGAGTTCAGCTAAGAAAAGAATTCAGAGCCAAGCAACTCAAATACAAGTGAAAGTTTATTTGGAAAGGCACAGACCGCAGAAGCGAGCGAGGAAGCAGTGAGCTGCATGAACTCAGGAAACTTAGGAGACAGAAAGGCAAAGGAAACGCGCCTGGGGACGGAGAGGGGAAAGTTCTGCAGAGAGAGAAAGTGTAAGCCTGCTGGTCCTTTATCTTAAGGGCTTGTCTCT